TCACAGAGGCTAAGACTGCAGTGTTTGGTCGTATGTACGAGGAACTGGGTGACAAAGGCGGGGATAAGAAGTTGTTCTGGCTGGCCAAGGTGAGAGTAAGGAAGGCTCGGGATCTGGACCAAGTGAGGTGCATTAGAGACGAGGACGGTAGGGTATTGATGGGAGAGGCATAGGTTAAGCGGAGATGGTAGACCTACTTTCATAAACTTCTGAATGAAGAGGGGGACAAGGATATTGTTCTAGGTGAATTGGGTCATTCCGAGAGTCACCGAGATTTTGGGTATTGTAGATGCATTAAGGCTGAGGAGGTCATGGGGGATATGCGAAAGATGAGTAGGGGCAGAGCAACCGGGCCAGACGAAATTCTGGTAGAAATTTGGAGAGTGTGGATATAGCAAGCTTGGAGTGGTTGATTGGGCTGTTTAATGTAATTTTTTCAGGACGAAGAGAATGCCCGACGAGTGGAGGTGTAGTACGATGGTAAAGTTGTACAAGAACAAAGGTGATATCCAGAGTTGTAATAACTATAGGGGTATCAAGTTACTAAGTCATACCATGAAAGTTTGGGAGAGGGTGGTGGAAGTAAGGGTGAGGAGGACGGTGTCTATATCTGATAACCAGTTTGGGTTCATGCCGGGTCGTTCGACTAAGGAAGCTATCCACCTTATTAGGAGGTTGGTGGAACAGTACAGGGATAGGAAGAAGGATCTGCACATGGTGTTTATTGACTTGGAGAAAGCGTATGACAAGGTGCCTAGGGAGGTTCTTTGGAGATTCCTGGAGGCAAAAGGTGTGATGGTCATTTACTTTAGGGTGATTAAGAACATTTATGATGGAGCTAAGACTCGGGTTAGAACAGTGGGAGTCGACTCTAAGCTTTTCTCGGTTGTTATGGGGCTGCACCAAGGATCTGCGCTCAGCTCGTTCTTATTTGCCCTGGTGATGGACACACTGACACACCATATTCAAGGGGATGTGCCATGGTGTATGTTATTCGCTGACAACATAGTTCTAATTGATGAGACGCGAGGCGGCGTTAACGAAAGGCTGGAGGTTTGGAGACAGATCCTTGAGTCTAAGGGTTTCAAGTTAAGCAGGACTAATACGAAATACCTTGAATGCAAGTTCAGCGTCGAGTCGAGGGAAGCAGACATGGACGTAAGGCTTGAATCATAGGTCATCCCCAAGAGAGGTAGTCTTAAGTACCTAGGGTTGGTTATCCAGGGGCATGGGGAGATCAACGAGGATGTCGCACACCGTATAGGGGTGGGGTGGATGAAATGAAGGTTAGCATCTGGAGTCTTGTGTGACAAAAAAGTGCCACTCTTGCTCAAAGGTAAGTTTTATAGAGCAGTAGTTAGACCAACCATGTTGTATAGGGCAGCGTGTTGGCCAATTAAGAAATCGCATATCCAGAAGATGAAAATAGCAGAAATGAGGATGTTGAGGTGGATGTCCAGGCACACTAGGATGGATAATATTAGGAATGACGTTATTCGAGATAAGGTGGGTGTGGCTCTTATGGATGACAAGATGCGGGAAGCGAAGCTCAGGTGATTCGGGCACGTGCGGAGGAGAAGCCCAGATGTCCCGGTAAGGAGGTGTGAGCGGTTGGCTTTGGTGGGTACAAGAAAAGGTAGAGGGAGGCCTAAGAAGTATTGGGGAGAGGTGCTCAGGCAGGACATGGCGTGGCTTCAGATTTTCGAGGACATGGCCCTTGATAAGAAGGTGTGGAGGTCGAACATTAGGGTTGTAGGTTAGGAGGTAGTTGAGCATTTTTCTACTTTGTACCGGGTGTGAGCCTATCCTGATAGGGTTTTGTCTTAGATTGCTAGTGGTTAATGTTGTGTTCACACTATTCTTCCATTTTTCATAGTATCTGGCCTTATTTACTTGTTATTGTTACTATTTTTCATCTATTTTCTGGTTCTTATGTCGTTGTTATTATTTCTTTTTTTCCTGTTGATGGTACTGATGTATTTATCTCTTTTCGTCTTCTTGAGCCGAGGGTCTTTCGGAAACAGCCACTCTACTCTCTCGTGGTAGAGGTAAGGTTTGTGTACTCACTACCCTCCTCAGACCTCACTTGTGGGATTTCACTGGGTTGTTGTTGTTGTTGTTGTTTTTATTGTTATTGTATGACTACTTGGACTATTATTCATGCTAGAAATTATGTATAGGCTATGTACTTATCCGTTTGAGACATGATAGGGCTATTTAGTTGTGTTGAGTTGCTTGCCTTGATTGTAGTGATACTTTTCATTCATGATATTATATCCATGTGTTATTTCACTATTTTTATATACTTCTTACATGTTATCTCACATGTTGTTGGTTTCCTTACTTGAGTACTATGGGTTTGAGTGGATTGTAGCACATTATTATAAATTCGGTGGCATATTGATTTCTGGTACTATGAGATATTTGCATATTGTGATTTGAGCTGATTAATGACTGAACTAGGGGCATAGAGCCATGATAATTTTGAAATTGAGGTAACGCATATGCCAGGTCCCCATTTGTCTGATTGGTATTGATATTGAGGTGACGTGTGCACCAGGCCATTTGGGTTGACTTATGATGATTGTTGACTTTTGATCTGATTAGCGGTTGGCTTAAATTCGCCCCTCCAGAGTCAGGTGATAACCCATGGTCCTTGGGCCTTGTGAGTGCAGGCACTTGGTATATGCTGAGTGATGGGATTCATGCCAGGCTCCCATACAGTACTGAGAGTGTGATTATCTGATGATTTCACCATGAATTCATTGATTTTGGCATTGTTACGAGTCATGCAGGCATAGAGATTTACCTTCCTCGTGCTAATTGAAATTCTATATCTTGAACTTGATGACCTAGCTGATTTGATTGGAAAGCATGTATATTTCCTATTAAATGTGAATAAGTTGAGCTTGTTATTCTTGAGTTACTTTCCTTTTATTATTATTATTATTATTATTATTATTATTATTATTATTATTATTATTATTATTATTATTATATTATTATTATTATTATGTTGTTGTTGTTGTTGTTGTTGTTGTTTCTGTCATTGTTGACTGTTGAAAGTGAGCGAACTTTGCCAATCTCGTCACTATCTTCAACCCGAGGTTAGGCTTGCTACTTACAAAGTACATGGGATAGGTTGTACTCATACTACACTTTGCACTTTATGTGCTGATCCAGGTGTTGGTGATAGAGATGATTGATAGAGAGTTGCATCAGTACCGTTTGGAGTTCAATGCAGCTCTGTTATTTCCGCGCGCAAGCCTTAGAGTCTTTTTCTTACTTTTGACATTACTCTGTATGTACTTCAGACAGTATTGTATCGTTGTTTAGACAGTTGTACTTATATTCTATAGAGCTCATGTACTCGTTAACACCAGGTTCTAGGATGGTATTGCAGTTGTTTCGCTATATTGCTTTAGTTATCTATCTTATTCCACTTTCGAGGCTTTTCTTATTATTGTTGGAGTTTATTTATGTATATTTAATGTTAGTGTTAGGCGCTCTCATGGCTTTGGCGGGATTTTAGATCTGACAATATGGATGTCGAGGTTGTGGCATATTTTCGATAGATGTTAGGTTGCTTATGCCTTATTGCAACATGCCTCACTTCATATGCTTTACTTGATTTATTTGTGTTATGATTCTATGCGCATCTTCACATGCTAGTATTATGTTATAGGCATCTCTATTATGCTACTATAACATGATAGAATATTGTATGTCATGACTAGTTATTGTAAGACTACTTGAGCATCTTATTCATGCTAGAATAATGTTATAGATATCGTTCACATGCTAGTTTAACATTATGGATTTCATGTACTTGTCTTACTTGATAGAACTGTGTAGACATACAATGTCTCTTTATATGCGCCATTCTAGCATACAGATCTAGTTCTCATCATTATCTGAGATTGTTTGGGCATTTGGATTCACGTTCCTGTGTTGAGGCATCTGTTTGGGCATGTGGATTCACATTCATATTTGAGACATTCGTTGGGCGTGTGGGCTCACGTTCCTATATTGAGATATTTATTCGGGCATATGGATCTAACCGATAACGTGTGGATATGAATCCGTCCCTATAGAGTCAGTGAACACCAGAATTCCGTCGGTAGTGCATGCACAATGGACACATGGATTTGTGTCAGACACATAGGCTTGTGTCGGTTTTAGTACAAAATTTGAGTATTTATCATGCATAGACGTTCTAAACTCATTTAGAACATTCAAGCATATCATCTATATATGTGTATTCATGTATTTTACACATACAGGGGACTTGATAGATGGTTGTTGGACACTTGAAGGGTGTCGGATTGGTGTAAAGTTTGAGTCTTTACTACTTGTTGCATATCTCCTTTATAAGCTGATTTGGTGCATTTGTATAAGCTTTTGACTTTGTTATTTAAAAACACATGCTTATTCTCCTCGTCTTTAACAGTGCACCTTATAATTAATATTTGTTGTTTCTCTGCTATTATATATGCTTATGAACTACACAGGTTATATAAAGTGAGTATCTTTTGAGTAAAGCTCGTCACTACTTTGTTGAGGTTAGTCTTGATATTTTCTGAGTACATGAGGTCGGTTGTACTTATACTGCACCTTATGTACAAATTTTGAAGCTGAACTATTTGGAGTTTGAGAGCAAGCATTGAGGACATATCAAAATTCCAATTATTAGCTGTCATTTGTTCATGGTAGCTTTGGATCTTGTACTTCTATTTACATATATTCAAACAGATGATACATTTTTTCATATCAGTGTTGTACTCTTATTTTTAGTTGCTCACGACTTGTGACACCCGTTCTTGGTTAGTTATTGAAATTTTGCATTTTAATTTCTTAATTATATGATTATCTTCTATTGTTATTACATTTGTGTTGGTCGGTTCGCCTAACGAGCACAACCGGGTAGGATTTGGATCGTAACAAAATTAGTGCCCTAATTCCGTGTTCCCATCAAAAGAAAAGAGGAAATGCAAAGAAGCTTCAAAGTATTCAATCCAGTAAACAGAAACAATAAGATTCACTTTCGAGTTAGTCCACAAGTTAATACATTTTCAGCAGACTAGTCTGAATAAATTTTGGACACAACTATCGCAAAAATAAACTTCCTAAGCCTCGGTGGGCTCCATTTCAGATGAGGTTGACAACCGATTGTTCACCTGCTTCCAGTTCATAGATGCATATGTTACGATCATTAATAAAATTGACTGTTCAATATAACACATGACCAACTGCCATCAACCATCATGTATACTATATCTGCTGCAGTTTGAGCAACTTCGGATATTGCAGTTCAATTTCAGCTGCAAGGCCCTCTGAGAATGACGTGTGCAGTAGAAATTGACCACCTCTCAGTGCAACTTGTTTTTCTGCTTTATATTAGGAATTAAATGAGTACCAACAAGTGATAGTTCCACCCACTGAATACCAACATATTCTTGGGGCATAAAACTGAGTTAAAAGAGGTTCAAGAGAGGTCTTGCACTTCAGTTGAGCTTTCCTTGGATCTGTGCTTCCTTTTCTTACTCCTGCATTTTTTAAACAGCAATTATTTCAGTCTGGTGGTAGATAATATGCCTGAGACATAGAGAAAGAGATCCAAAAATGGCAAAGATTATATATTAAGTTAGTCAAGATAGGACAAAATGACAATCTGGGAAAAGTTGATAGAAAGTACTTGTCGTGTGAACCAGGATCAAGACATGATTTGAGTTTCCTGTCAATGTGCTTCACATCTTTGGAAGTTGGAGGAGCCTCAAGTTTACAAATCTGTCAGAATACCACGAGTTTAGGCAGTAAGCTGACTACATTAAGCACAGAAAAAAAATTTAGAGAGGAAAAAAAGAAAATTTTCCAGAAGTAGCAGGGCAAATATAGGCCTGGATTAAAGCAGAAAGCACCTACCAAAGAATCAATGGTATTTAAAGAAACTGAAAGTTCAGAAATTGCTTGAGTTGACTGTTGACGTGATAGGATGCTTCTCAGATACCTTCATGAAAATTAATTATCATGTCAGTAGGAGGAAAAGGAGACTAGTTTGCATTAATTCCGAAGATAGTGACTTAAACCTCTCAAAATCAAGAATGTCATGCACCACATTAGCTCGACGCAAAGCTGCCAACGCCAACTGCAACAATGAAATAGAAGCTAAATCAGATTACCAGATAAAAAGACACGTATGTGGTGTTAAGGTTAGTGCATTCATAAAGAGCAGATCATAATGCCAAACACAAACCAGACTGTCAGTGAACTCTGTTATCATGCATGATCATGAGATAAATCTCTTGATATGTCGACCATACGATGATCAACATAAACAAGTTCTTACATTGACTCGCTATTTTTGTAACACTCCCTCATCTAAAATATGAGTTCTCTGGATATAACGTGTCCATCACAAAGAAGAGCTCCTCTGAAGTGATCCAGTCAGAACCACATTATGGATGCATTATTAACCATATACATGATTATGATTGTCTACTCAAGTGATTGCATGTTACAGTTAAAGCTCCATAATGATCTGGATAGAATAGTGAGTAACATCGTTTGCAGTACTTTCTAACTTATGTTGTTTCAGTTGAGAGAAAAGGAATGAAAACGCAGAGGAAGAAAATGATTTTTATTTTTTTGTGTTCACATTAACTTGAAAATAGAAGGCCAGCAGATAGAGATATGAAAGGATAACATAATAACCAAAAGAAAATTGAAAGCTTCGGATGTAAAAGTGAAGAATGGCCTAATACGCTAAACATTTAGTACTACTAAACTTCTGAGCATGTAGTACTAATTATTAACCTGACCATGGAGAAATATGAAGCAGTTAGCAATGACATGTGGTCAAGTGAAGTCAATATTGGGGAGGGGGCATTGGCTTAGTTTTTTTTTTTTTTTTTTTTTTTAAATGGGAGGGCTTAGTAAAAACAAATTTATAGGTGAAAAATTAATTAAGAACTGAAATGGTTCAGCTTAGTGTATTGGAGCATCACATAGGGCCAATACAGTTTTCACATCCAGGATACAAAATATAGACCTCTCAAGCAAGTGAATAAAATAGAGCTGCTTGCTTCAAAATAATGACATCTAAAGAATGAAGTTTAAAGGCTGATCTTGTACTAATGATTATTTACGTCATTCAAGAGCTAAAGATATTAGGTTTGCGCTCTTGAAGGTACCCACAGGTGTAACATCAAGTTACTTCTTTGGAATAAATTTGAAATCAGAACATAGCTTATCATTTTGAACATACAATGTGCTGATAATTTTTTTAAAAACAAATTCTGATATAATTGTTTAAATGCTATCCTTCTAAAATCTGTTTGGCACTATTTACTTTTTCGTCCGTCCAAAAGGATCGACATATTTCCATCTTTTTCAGACGAACAGTTCGAAACTCGGTGCATAATAGGCCCGTCCCTCTCCCAATACCCTTTCTCCACTTGAATACCAAGCTTTTGTCTGCAACAATGTTCGAAACCATGACATGTGCCTAACCCTCACAGCATGCACAACACTCTTACCACTAGACCAAAGCCTTGGACCAACGTATATCCACATGTAGAAACTCGATAATTTCACATTTCTTACTTTTACTTTTTGATTTATATAAACGTATATTCAAAACAAATTGTTTGGTACAAGGTAGTTTTGTTATCTCATTCATATTTAGCTCATGTGCCAAAAGTCTTCTATTCTTTCTTTAACAGTGTCAATTCAACATATACAAAGAAATTGGGATGTACATTTGCAGGTAATGTACCAACTGTTGCTGCAAATGCTTCAAATGTTGAATCATATAAACATTCAGTTTTAACCGTCAAAGTCTGTCCAAACAACCCCTTTGTCAAAAGTACAATTTGCCGATCTTCACGGAAGTTGCTAATTTACACGTCTGTTAAAAGTTCAATTTCCCAAAACGTTCTTGCTTTGCGTTATTTTCACAAAGACTTTCTAAAAAAACTTAACTTGGGAAAATTCATATTCCTTTCTCAGACTCCGTCTTTTTGACTACCCGCTTCCACAAAATCTGTACACTCAACAGACTAAACAAAATGTAAGTCTTAACCAACAGAAGAGACCTGGGTAGTTGCAACAAAATGTTAAGCGAAGCCTATTTAAAATTGTAGCCAGAATTCTTCTCTGCAAACGTACCCAATCCATTATTTCCATAAAGAAAAGGTAGATTTAATTTAGGAAGACCAACCATGAAAATTTTATCTGTAGAGAATTCTCAGTATCCGTACTTCATATGAAGCCGGAAAAATAAAAAGGGAACAAAAATAAATCAAAGATTTATGACCGTTTGAAAACACGCGGACTTTTCTTTATAAAAATGGCGAAGCCAGCATCAAGGATATGATAATATCTATTAATAGAGTCTTCTGCAACTAGGGAGCTATAACGATGTTTATGCTGAACAAAATTTTAATAAGGAATTTCATGAGACTGTGTCACTGATAAAGAATACCTGCCCAGGTGGGAATAAAAGTGGTGCCTCTGTACGCATAATCTTATCTGCTTCCATCCTAGCGGCTTCAAGCATTCTCTATAGTCCAAAAGGATATATATTAAGCTGGCAGTTCCATGAGTCAAACAGAGATCAAGTGCATTATCTCACATATAAAGGAAATGATAGCATCCAAGGAAGCTCGACTATATTCAAGGACAAGGATGAAGCTTTGGAATCTCAAAGAGGACCTTTAACAAGATGTCAAGCTAAAGAGTTGCAAAACAAGGTCATTATACTTCAAATGCAAATAAAGAAGTTGTTAATTGGGAGAAAGAGCTCAAGGATAAAGGATGTGAATTCCCTAGGTGTTACAATTGTTTTATGGCCCAAATTTATGTCCAAGAAAAGGAGTATTGGATTCCAAGAGATATCCTTTGAAGAAGGTCCTAATCAGTCCACTTTTGGACCATTTTGGCACCTAAAATGTGTCCAAACTTGCAGCCCAATAAGTCCTACATGAAGTCACGTTTTTATAACATAAAAAGAACTTACTTTATGTCAAAGAAGGGTACAATAGTCGTGCTAGAAGTTGAGTGCAAGTTGGTGCCAAGTTGCTTGCAAATGTCCTTCAAGATTTTCAAGATTTCCAAGATTCTATCCAAGATTGGTTTTGGACATTCAAGATCCTATCCTAAGGTAGTTGGGACTTTCTTTTTTTGTTTTTTTGGTAGAATTTCGTGACTCCCTCTCTATATAAAGGATGTCTTCTTTGTTTTTAGGGGAGATTATTATAGACAATATCAACAAAAAATGTAATATTTTTCTTGCACTCTTGTGTGTGGCTACTCTTGGATTTATTTTTCCAACCTTCAAGAATCAACTTAAGTGGTAAGGTTAAACCCTTTTCAGGCTTATTGTTATTCTTGTTATTCTAAAGGGTCGGGTTTCACAATATATCTCTTGTTTTTAATTCTCTACCAAAGGCGATTAGTTCTTCGTTAGCTAATTGTTGTTGCTAGGATTCAACTTCAAGAATAGACTTCAATCTATCTTTAATTTATGTCTTCTTTTTCGTTTCCTTATTTTCTTTTAGCTTCCGCACGTTTCTTGATTTTCTTATTTTTCTTTAGTAATTCTTTAACCCCCTATCGTGTTGTTATCAAGTGGTATCAGAGCATAGGCTAATCAAGATTTTAATCTTGATAATCTTGAGTGAATTCTTGAACAAAAAAAAAAGATTAAAAAAACCAAAAAAAATAAAAATCAGCCCAAAAAAGTGTTATTGCTCATTATTATTTTCGGATTCAAGTATAATTTGGTTTTCAAGTCAAGAAAGAAACAAGAAGAGATCCTAGTTCTTGAAGATTAAGGTAACTTTTTTCCTTATTCTTGAGGGTTTTAGGTTTCTTAAATTCTTTATTCTTTTTTTTCTTCTTAATAACCAATTCCTATCCTTCCTATGTTTGGTCCTTCACTTTCCTTTTCCTTTTATCTAACTCCACATTCTTATCGCTAAGGTTATGACTAGTAAGGTTTATTAATAAATCTACAAGATTAACGACCAAGAGTTGCTTTGAGTGGGAAAAAGGCAAGATAAGTGAGAACATTAGAGGGAAAGAGCCAAATTTAAAAGATACATATTTCTTCTAATCTATGTCAAGATGTCTCAAATAGGTAGTTATAGCGAAAGGAGGTGAGCTATGACTCAACAACTTGAAAAGTCGAACTTACAGTATACCGAATGGAAGGAAAACAATCGTAAAGTTATTTTTCAAACAAGAGCTAAAGTGATGTCCACGATTTGTGCCCTTAGAATTGACAAATAATTTGGCTATAACTCAATTAGCACTTATATGGTTGAGAAATTGAACTTAGCTTGTGTTGAGCATATTGAACCTTACATGTTGAGAGGAGTAAAGGTAGATAAAAGAGTGTTATTACTATTTTCTATTGGAAGGTATGAGGATATGATCTGGTGTGATGTGATTCCCATGGATAATTATCATATCTTGTTGGGAAAGCCATGGTATGTCTACAGAAGAGCTTCATATAACCTGAAAAAAAATAGATACTCTTTTGAGGTTAACGGGAAGAAACTCATTCTTGGACCTTTGACTCCCTCACAAATTTGTGAAGATGAAAAGACTATTAAAGAGAGTATGAAAAAATATGAGAGAGAAAAGAATGAGAGGAGTAAGGGAGTGCATGTCGACATCCCAAGAGAGGAAAAAGGAGAGGTTGTGTTGAGTGAAGAGAAGGGGATATCAAGTGAGAAAAAGAGGGAGCTTGAGGGAAAAGAAAAGAGAGAAGGCAATGAGATAACAAAAGTCTGTGAGGTAGAGAGAGAAAAACAAGAGGGTTTGAGTGAAGAAAAAGAAAAAAACTTTAGTGAGAAAAAAGAGGCTAAAGGTGAGGAGAAAGTAAGTTTTGTGATAAAAGCCAAAGAGAGTGTGTAAGCAAGAAAAAAGTTTCTTTACTTCCTAACTCATTAACTCTTTCTTGTTTTAGTTCTTGTGATTTTGTGCAGCCACGTGTTGAAATACCTTTTGAAAGGGGAGGTGAAGTGCAAGAGATGGTGGCAAAGGATCTAATTGCATTCCAACATGAATTTGGCGAAATCTATTTTTGTTGGATGGTGGAAGATAAAATCTTGGTTAATTTCTTTGTTGTTGAACCTTTTGACTATTTTGATCCTTATTTACAGTTTTATGACATGGAGTTCCCTAAAGACATTGCTAAGTTGGAGCCATTGCATAAAAGAATACAAGGTGATGATGTTCCATTGGTAAATAAGTCCAAGTATAGTATGTATAATTGGTTTATCCGATTTCTTGGGCTTTCTAGAACACCTAAGGTATTTTTGGAGGTAAAGAACTATACTCTTATTTTTTATGTTGGTGACTATATTATTTTTGTGGATGATGATATTTTGATGCATATCAAGTCATTAACTGTAATATCTAAGTTCAAGTGCAAAAGTAATTTGCTTCTTTTTGAAATTGAGTATGACATAGATGATCATGTATTCCAACTTTGTGGAAAGAGGCATGAAATATATGAGAAGAGGCTTGCGAATGAATTAAATATTTCTTCTTCTCTTATTCAAGTGGCTAATGAGTTTTCATGTGATAAATTGCTAGAATGTGAATTTTGTTGTGTGATGAGAAGTCATTCTTCTAGTCATGTTGATTGTGAGCCTGTAAAAGTGTTTGCTACTAGTAAAGAGGCTATGAATGATTATTGTGACGTTAGTGATCAAATACTCTTTCATGAGCTTATTTATGACTCTTTCTATGACAGTTTGAGCAAATGTTTAGAATCTGTTGATGTTAGAAATATTATTGGGGAAAGTTATAATCACGAGCTTGAATGTATTGAAACTTTTATTTTGGTAATTATGGGTTCTTCCAACTTTCTTGAGAATTTATGTGCTTCTTTGAATAGCTTATATATAGAAGAATCCATGAGATTTGTAATTGATACTTGGCTATATCATAAAAGTGTCTTATTTGATAGCTTGTTTTTAATTCTCTACCAAAGGCGATTAGTTCTTCGTTAGCTAATTGTTGTTGCTAGGATTCAACTTCAAGAATAGACTTGTTGAATTGAAGAAACTCTTTCTTTAATTCAATCTATCTTTAATTTCTGTCTTTTTTCGTTTCCCTATATTCTTTTAGCTTCCACACGTTTCTTGATTTTCTTGTTTTTCTTTAATAATTCTTGAATCCCCTATCGTGTTGTTATCAGGAAAGAACTCAATGAGGTAATGACTAAAAAAATCAATTGAATTAGTAGTGTACTGGTTGATGTCCAAGATGCTACAAATTTCTAATCAGGAAATTTATTAATTGCTCTTATCGAAAATCGCAGGTCAAAAAGAAATGTGTAAAAGACACTTGCAGTTCAACAAATGAAAGTTTAGCTAGTTGGCAGCTCCATGAGCCAGAGGGGTAAGCATTAATCTCTGATGTACAGTATAGAACTCAGAAGAGTTTAATCCTTTATCCTTGCAGAGATACTGAAATTTAACAATGAAGCTGAATGGAGAACACGCTCTGATGATGAAATGGTAGAGAGACAGATTACAAATGGACCTTGATGAAATATTCAAGCAGGAAAAAATAATTTTGCGACAAAAGTCAATGAGTATTTAGCTAAAACACGTGACAACAACACTAAGTTCTTTCACAAATGGCAAACGCCTACCGTAAATATAATCAAATTAATGACCTTATTATTGATGGGGTTATAGTTACAGATGAGGTGATTATAAAGGACAAAATCCTTGATTTCTTTGAATCACTCTACAGTAAAGATGACTCCATGTGACTCCCACGGTCTTATTGTAATATTCCTGTATTTCGATAGAAGATAATATGGCTTTACAACCTTTCCTAGAAGAGGAAGTTATTGGTGTTATCAATGATTCCGTCTTTGACAAATGGCTTTACCATGGGTAGAATATAAAAAGTTTCGGAGCATTATCAGGCACCATTTTCTTAATGTTTTGAACCTCATCCGTTAACAAACACTTCCCAAGAGTCTAAATGCTACTTTTATTACTTTGGTCCCTAATGTCTGGAGATAATGAAGTTTGGGATCTCCGACCCTTTAGTCTTGGGGGTAGCTTCTACAAGATCCTTCCTAAGGTACTTGCTACTAGACTAAAGCTGATTATCAGTAAACTAGTTTCTCCTCATCGGTTGGCCTTCATTAGAGGCCGTCAAATTAATGATGTTGTTCTCATTGCAAATGAATGCTTAGATTTCCGAATAGATTGGCCATACCAGTCTCATTTGCAAACTTGATATAAAGAAAGCTTTTGATCTGTCACTGCATCCGTTCTTTCAAGAAGGTATAACAATGTCTCCAATTGAAATGATCCTATGTCTTTTCTATGTCTAATATACACAATATACCGTGAACTCTATTCCCAAACCTCGAATCACCTGACTAATTGTTGAACAACACCGAGTGAAATGCAATTATTCAAAGCCAAAATGTACAAGCTCTCTCAATTGTTTAAATATACAACAGCAACAAACCCAGCGTAATTCCATAAGTGGGGTCTGGGGAGGGTAGTGTGTACGCGGACCTTACCCCTACCTTGTGAAGTTAGAGAGGTTGTTTCCGATAGACCCTCGGCTCAGTAAAAGCACAGTCTCAGCATTGTTGGAAAAAAATACAGTAATGGACAGTTGTTTAAATATAATAATTGTAATACGACAACACTAATTAAATGCAATTCACTAAAGCCAGATTGTACAAGGAGCAGAAAATCAAAGGCTATTAAATTTAAATTTTCAAAATCGTATGGCAAATGTATAACAATTACCTTTAGCGTCTCATGTTGGTCATCATCATTAGCACCACGAAACTCCTAAAGTTTCAAGAAGAATAATCAAAGATTGCATTGGACATGATACGTGATTAAGGAGTAACCAACTATCAGGATACTCTATAACCAATTGGGATTTATTTAAGCCCTTACGAAGTTTCCTTCATATTGAGAGTTTTACTCATGCTGTAGCTATTACAACATGATTTTAACCACATAGCCATCGTAATTATGTTTTAAAAAAAGAATCCATTCAAAAAGTTACAACAAAAAGTTAATTGGTGGATCAACAAAAGACCTCCATATCACTGACAAAACCTTCGAGTGCACGATATGGAGCATAAACAATAAGATCGAAACCTAGACTCTGCAAGAGAAAGGTAAAAATTCAAATAAAAGCAGGATTCAAAAAAATAGTGTAGGAGGAAATAACATATAAATTACATCCTTGCCTGAAGAACCAGCATCTCATTATTGAGGATAACATGATGATCTTGTTCTATCCCCTTACCAAGCTCCTCAGCTGATACGTGATTTTCCTCGGCCTTGCAAGCTGCATATATGCAAGTTAACCTGCAAATATCATAAGACACCTCGTCCACTTTCTTGGGAAGAAGATAGTAAAACACATTTTTACAGTGTCAACAATATTTAGGGATGTCTCTCTCTTGATCTCTCTCGAACCAGGAGACCTGGTGGAAGAGATAATTAAGAGTTTCTTACATGATGTTTTTGGGATGATGTTCCATCACCGACCATTGCAGATAAAACCTTTTAAAATAAATGAGAGCTGTTGCCTGCAATGCAACATGATAACTGGTTAACCTTCAAATAGGTTGATCAAAGGTTGCTGATTCAATAACCAAAAATACATCTTTTGATATGTACACTAATTGTAACTCATGAAAATAAACTTCTTTTTTTTTTAGAATGGCAACACTATATTAAAATCAGCGCCAAGGCAGTGCTGGAGCCATATTAAATAAAAATAATAAACTAAACCTATACCTGAATCTTGCGTGGGAACTTAAAAGCATCACAGACATCTTGAATTTTGAACTCATAAAAAGCCCTTAACAGCTGCTCTTCTTCGACCTTGAGAGGTTTGGGACGCTTTTCAGCTAACATGCCAACAGGCAGTGAAAAGAATGGTGATTACCTTAAAACAAAAAGGGCCTTACAACAGAAGTTGAATCAGTTTAAATTGCTTTACATGGGGCAAGAAACAACTTACCACTATCTTTTGCATCACTTTGAGGTTCAGCATACGAGAAAGACCCATCGATGTCAACTTCCATTCTGGTTGCTCCGTACTTCAGAACATATTTAGCTATCAGCGTTGTAAGCAAATCAAAGTTAACAAGAAAAGAGTTGATTAAGTTTATTGAACCAAAAAATCAAGTCCATAGATATGTCAAACTACACAGACACATTTTGGTCAAGTAATCTTAATGGTCTATTTCACAGTAGCCCCTGTTAAAGAAAAGACAATATGACACCTCATACCCTCTGTAAGACTCAACTTCTCTTGATCTAACCTTCAATTTGGCTTTTCCTATATTAGGAGCGTGTAATCTAAGGAACTTCAAGATCAATACATACAGTTATAAATTACAATGTCATAAGCAAGGTGTATACATCCTTGCAGGAATGTCAATGAAGCAAACAAAACGACACCGCTTTATCATTGTGAAAAAATTCATGCGAATCATTTATAAGTGTAGTATTGGAATGATTTGGCGCCGAATAAAGTGGTCAAACGACCACGATTTTTTCCTGGAATTGAGTTGTAGAAGATTGGAAGATTGATGCCTGTGTGTGAGTGAAAGAATTTCAAAGGTAGAAGTACTCCTCTGATGCATGCTTCAATGTTTTGAGGTTACAGATATACCATTGTAGTTAAAGCACAAAGAAGGGGACAGGGTTGATTCAAGAAACCAAACTAGGCATATAGAAGTTCATACACTACGCATTTGTAGGCACATTGCAAGACAAATAACTTTTAAATCAACAGTAAGAGGACATAAATGATGCAATTTATCAGCACAACAAAAAGTCATTTCTTTACACTGAGAAATACATGTGCCAGCACATAGAAAACATACGGAAATAGAACTAGCATACCTTCTCTAGAGCTTGTTTGGCTCTTTGATTAGCAGCCTTGTACTTGTCCCTCTGTAAACAGTAACAGTTCATTCTATTACTCCCTCCGTTTCAATTTATGTGAACGCATTTGACTGGACAAGGAGTTTAACAAAAGAGAGAAGACTTTTGAACTTGTAATGTAAAATGAGGCACATATATTTTGTGTGGCTATAAACTATTGCATAAAGGTAAATTGTTTCCAAATAGGGAAAGGGGTCATTCTTTTTTACACGGACTAAAAAGGAAATAGGTTCATATAAATTAAAACGGAGGGAGTATTTACAAAAAAGATCCCTAGTACTGCTGATGATTTTCAGAAACAGTTGATTGGAACTAAGGGGCAGGGATTTAAATGGACAAAATTTGCAACTTACAAGCTCTTGGGGAGTGAAAATCCACTTGGCTCTGTGAGTCGATGTCGTGAAATCTGCCATTGCTTGCTGATTCCTTCTTTCTTCTGCCGTCCCTGTTTGCACGTATGAAGTTCAGCCAAGGTCTTTCAAGGTATCCGTTATTCCTGGAGTTAGCACATTTTTGTTTCACAGCCAAACCCTTCATATTTGTTTGGTTTAATTAAAAAATGTTTTTTCCGAAAAATATTCTGTCAAAAAAAAAAAGAAAATTAATGAAATTATTCTTAGAGTTTATTTACTTTGAATTTATTGGAATAAGTTTCCTCCAAAAAGAAATTCCACCAAAAGGATGTAACTTCCTTAATTTATAGACAGTTTTCATTTTCCTTTCCAGAGATCTAACTCTTGTTACATATGACTTGCTCTAACCAATTTTTCAGATACATTGTTTTTAATCTTTACTACTCAAAATATCACCAAAAAGACTACTTCATACTCTATTCTTCACCATCATAACATTATCATATGTTGCCTATTTTCAAAGGCAGACCCAAGATTTTAAGACGACGGGTGCCACCACTGCCTTGAATAATATTATCATGTCACCTATTTTGGACTTAAGTTCGTTTATCCGTCTTTTCAATTTACATATACAACCCGATCACCAAAAAAAAGTGAAAATAAGAACCTAGACCAAAGTATGAATTTTTAATAATATCGATTAACAATAAGTCAATTCCAATAGGGAAATCAGATCTCTTCTATCAACACAAATTATAACATGTAAGAGGGAACACAATCCTTCCATAGTAAGTCTATCATAAGTCATAATGATAACATCTTGTTTAAGGTAAATAATTTTATTAATAATGGAAAAATCTTCCGTATAAGCAGTAAACCAAAAGGTAGAGAATCTACCACATAAGTCATAACTATAACATTCTTTGAGAAATAAAAGAAGACTTACCAATTGGAGAAAATATGACCTCGGAAGTTGGACGTAGCTAGATTTTATCTTGCAATTTGCAAGCCCCTGCAAATATATTAGGCTCAATTACATCAATACATTGCACAAGTAACCACATAAACTATCTCTTCTATGATACCATCTATTTTTGCTTAAACTTAGTTGGTAGTCTTCCATTTCATGATTAAACGAGTTGAGATTTTAATGTTAAATTAGTTTTCTGAGAATATGCTTTTGGAAGTTCCCAAGAAACGCCTAATTTGGCCTTTTAAAATTGGTCTCTCGGTAACTGAAATTCTTAATATCAAAACTGATGCATCAGTAAATTAAATTAAAACATATGTGGAAGAACAAATCAAAAAATACAAAAAAAAAGGGAGGAAAAGAGAGTCTTACAGTGAGAGTCGCCCACGCAGTCACTGTAAGTCGTCGCCCGTTGCCGGTTGGAATTCACAAAACGCAAGAGAGCTGCTAGATTGTCGGGGTTTCCTTGTTGGGGTGAGTGGGGGATGTTTTTGACGGGGAGAGAGCAAAGGGTTAATTTATAACCTGTTTGGCAAATCTTCTAAAATAAGAGAACTTTTTTTCAAAATTGTTTTTTATAAAAGTAATTTTGACGAGAAATAATTTGTATTTGTTTAATTAATTTAAAAAATACTTTTGAGTATGAATTAGTACTCGACCAAACTTTTATAAAGTAATTTTAAGTGTATTTTTCTCAAAAATACTTTTCAAAAAATTACTTTTGAGAATAAGCTATTTTTTTCTACTTCTACTTAAAAATACTTTTTATTCTTCTAAAATATTGGTCAAACACTTCAATTTTGAAAAATAAGGAAAAGCTTGGCCAAACAGGCTATTAGTTTGGGTTTTTGCGTCACGCCCCAAACTCGGGGAGCGCGATCAGTGCTCAACCGAGTGAACCCGGTCGAGCAAGCCTCTTAGATTTTCTTCTACCCAAACTCATCCATGAATAAGGATAATATATATTTTCGTTAATTAGACAATAAGGTGATCGTGTCTACAATACCAATTCATTACCATTAGTTACCTCATTTAATAATTCTCAAAACACACACACCTTCATGGTTCAAAGTGGAACGGGTGATTTAATCATAACACAACTTGTTTAACATTCCCAACACCCATATACAACCCACACTTAGTCTACGGAGCCTCTAAAAATACCAAAGAGTACAATGATAGTGCACGCAACAAGGCTCCAGCTATACCTCAAAACACGATAACACATACGAAACAAAAGATGCACAACCACGAAATGAGATGGGGCTCACCAAGTCAGTTGGGAAGAATGAGCACTGCTATCACTGGTCAGTATCCTCCGCTATGGAACCACCTGCATCTATTAAAGATGCAGCGCTCCCGGCAAAAGGGACGTTAGTACATGTCGAATAGTACTAGTACGAAAACCAAACACCAATTTAAGAACTCGAAAATATAGTATGAATATGATGAATCAAGGCGACAATAAAATAACATAGATAACCGTTTAAACCAAAGCAAGCTTATCAAGAGTTGTCATTAACATTTATAGAATTTAAGGTGAGATTCTTTGTAACCATTTTCACACAAAGTGGCCCCGCCGCCTCACCCCAATGTATGCAGGTGGAGGTATAAGCACAATACCAAATCTCTACTCAAGCGGCCCTGCCGCCTCACCCCAATGTATGCAGGTGGAGGTGTAAACACAATACCCATTTTCACATAAAGCGGCCCCGCCACCTCACCCCAATATATGCGGGTGGAAATGCATCAACGATACCAATACCTACACAAAGCGGCCATGCCGCCTCACCCCAATATATATAGGTGGGTGGTGGTGCAACAACAATACCAAAATTATACACAAAGCGGTATTGCCTCCTCATCCCCAATGTATGCGGGTGGAGGTATAATCCCAATCACAATCTCTACACAATTTGGCATAATTATTTCCACATAAATCACGACTTGGAATCATAACATGTAGATACGCAATCCATAGTTTGGAACACATCCTCAATTTATAATACAATATGATAAGAGCATTTGAAATACAAATTGAATATATATCTTTGTCACAAAACTTATTTGGAATACTCGATTTGTAATAAATATCTTAGAACTTACAAGGATATTGGGGTTCCAATTCTTAAAGAAGAGTTTAGCTAACATACCTCAATTTAGCTTCCTTAAACTCTAAAATGTTCCGGAATTCTTAGCAACTTCAATCTTTTTTAGAAATATAACAAATTGAACCAAAATTAGGAAGATGATCATGGTTCTAGTTCATTTGAGCATTTTATCAAACACTAGGTGCGCATTAAGGTTTCAAGGTCCTTTTATGGAGGATTCCATCATCCCACAAACCCACTCTTTACCATGTTTAGCTCACAATCTTCCTACACCCTTTGATAACATATGCATGCAAAATAAATAACTCATATACCCAAGAATTGTCTTGCTAATTACCAATTATTATTAATCTTGAGCTAGGGTGTCGAATCTTACCTCTAGGATGAAGACCTAGTGAGTTTTTCTTGTTAATCTTCAAAGATTCGAGCAAGAATTGAAGAACAAATTGTTGAAGATCACTCTCCCACTTTAGGGCACTCACTCACTCTCAACATATCAGGTTTTAGCTCAAAAATGGTACAAATTGTCTATTTAACGAAGTAGAGCCGAGTTATAAAAACCCAAAAATGAAGCTTCGGAACAGGGCATGCGGTCGCATATGCGACCGCATAATACTTATGCGGTCCGCAGAATAGGCCGCATAATTGTCCTCTAGAACTGGGCAAATCTGACTCGGTTTGCGGTCATTATGCGGCCTGCAGACCTGTTTTGTGGTCGCATAATGCGCCACAGAACCTCCCTCCGAAAAATCTCAAAGCTAGATATGCGATTAGAGTGCGGCCCATGAAATAATTTTGCGGTCACATAATGGGCCGCGAAAATGACATCAAAAATGGCCCAAAAGACTGTCTCACTCTACGACAATTATGCGGTCTGCATAGTGGGCTGCAGAGTGATTCTGCGGCCGCATAGTGGGCCGCAGAAGTGCATCTCTTCTGCCCAAATATTTTTCCTTTACTTTTCAGTGTATTGTTCAACCCAAAAAGTCTGAGCCGCGGTACAATCCTCAAACACGTAAGCCTAGTTCGGCACCACGAAATATTATTTTTCCTTTGCGAGATTTTATGGGGCCTCACATTTTGATTCTTTAATTATTTAAAAAGTACAACATAAATAAAAAAATAATACGATAAAATGGATTTTTTTCAAATCTATCTATCTATATATCTATATTATTATAAAAGTACGAATATTTTACGCTAAATGTTGAACCGCTAAATGTTGAACGACAAAAATACCCTCAATAAATTGATCGACTTTTATGTCGTTCAAAACATAATTCTATGTTGGATAAAATTATAACTTAAAACTTGGACTAATATTGATTTGCACTGAATTCTAATCATAATCAAATTTAATCGGACATAGAAGTAAAGTTTTAAAAGGATAGTACGATTTGGAGTTGAGATAAAGTTTAGGAATCATAGAAGAAGACTAATTCTATCAAAATTAATTATTTAATTTTTATAGACCAATTGTAGGTCTTGTTGAAGAGAAAAATATGGGATATCGGCTCTCTCTCATTCTCTCAAAGTCACAGATAATGTCCTTTTTATTGGTGAGATTTTGTAAATATTTTATCTATTATGATGGCAGTCAAGGAAACATTAATTACAGGCAATAGAAATATTACATGAAGTAAGAAACACACATTTATCTCTACCATTCTAATTATTTGTGTGACTTTGTTTTCCTTTACTTCCATTCAAGTTTATGGAAGATTTTGTACTTCTGATTTAATGTTTTTATTTTGTATGATTTAATTAAAATTGTTATCCGATAGACCGTTGTCTAGCTCCTTGATATGTGTACTTTTGATCACGGTCTTATTTTCACAGTGAAGGAAACAAAGTCAATTCGATCTCGATATTATATTGTTCACGACTCAAAAGATAGAGCAGGTAATTAATTACTTTGTCATCATAAAGTATTTGTAAGGTTTTTCTTTTTGTTCAACATTTTTGGACAAAACTTAGTTTGCGATGCAACATGGCGTATATTGCACTAATCAGTAGTAAATTTTTTAAGAAGTAAAGCTCTTATCTTGTCCAAGCCAATCAAGCAAAAGACAAGGAAAGAATAAAATATTTTGATGCATTGATATCTTAAAGTATGCTAATTATGTGGGAAACAAATCGGTAAATTTTTTTTTCTTAGAATAAAAAATAATTGTCATGCCTAACTAATAATAGATATTGCTTATAAATCCAGTACTCGGTATTAGTAGCCATCTGATATTCATCAAGATTTAGTATATATATGTTGCATGTGAATACAATTTTGATTTCAATGGAAAACTCTTATCGTACGACCTTAAGCGTTGACTGGAATTCAGGGAAAATTTGAATATTTGGTTAAAGTATATTTTGCTCATATTAATTATTAATTGAATATTTACGTACAATTATTAAACAGACTGAATAACTACGTGTAATTATTAATGTGCAACGCACGTTCATATAGACTAGTTATATTAAAAGCACGAAAACCCTTAGTAAAATATTATTTGCCTTTTTTTACCTTTAAAATTAGAGTTCTTACTGGACAAAATAGTCATTTATAATTTTCCCCTCCCTAATATTTAGTACATTAAAAACAACTAAAATTGTGATTACTAAATCTTTCCTTATTTGAACTAGGTAAAATGTCTTAAATTTAGCACTTTAAAACCATATAAGATTTTACTTTATAAAAATAATTATTTGAAGTATGTTATAATAAACTATATTTACGACTAATCCTCATATTAGGACTTTGGAGTCAATTACAATATTATTCAAAAGAAATTTTGTCTGTATTATGTTTTTATTGTAAAAATTGCACGATTTAATTTGTACCCACTGTTTAAACAACTTCAGCTCCTCTTTCGTTTTCTGAATGTTGAAGAATTCTAATTTTAATTGCTACTGAAACACGAAAGCACGAGTTGATTTCCTGTGCTTTTACTAATGGTCTTGTTTTATATGAGTATTGCTTTTCAAATTTTCTCATAATTTCATTATTCTAAGGCTAAGATATATAATAAATAGTAGTTAACAGCTGGATCTGTGATAACTCAAAATATTATTTTTAAATTTAATAAGTAATTTTGTGTTCTAAGACCTCGAAAAAAGTACCATTTATTAGTCCTCGACTTACGTGCGCAGTCCGTATAATTTTTTGGAAAGTTTTTATGTGAAAAATAGATTAAAATGAGAAATAGAGCTTTAAAACTCAACTAAGTTGACTTTGGTCAACATTTTGAGCAAACGGACCCGGATCAGTATTTTGACAATTCTGATAGGTCCGTATCGTGATTTGGAACCTCGGCGTATGCCCTCGAATTCCGAGGTCCCTAGCTCGAGATATAAAATTTTGATGAAAAATTAAAAGCTTGAAAGCTTAATGATTTTT